GCAGCCTGGGCAACAGAGCAAGACTCCGTCTTAAAAAAAAAAAACGACTTTTCAGACAAACAAAATTTGAGAAAATTAATTACCAGAAGACTAGCTCTACAGAAAATGCTTAGAGTCCTACAGGCTAAAGGAAGATGATCCTAGAAAGAAGCATGAAATGACAGAAACAGATCACAAAGTTGAAAAATAATGAAAACTACCAGAAAGGTATGGGGATATATAAAAGATATATATTGACTATTTAAAACAACAATAATAATGACTTGTGGAATTTTAAGATACATAGAAATAAAATATTGATAATACTAGTCCAAAGATTGGGACTGGGTATTAAACGAAGTTTCTTGTATCATTCAGACAGTGCTAGACCATAATGAGGAGTGGTCTGCACAATGTACAATTAAAAAGCTAGTAGTACAAGTAATGAATATGGGAAGAATGATAAAATCAGCCAGGTGCAGTGACTCATGCCTGTAATCCCAGCACTTTGAGAGGCCGAGGCAGAAGGATTGCTTGAAGGCAGGAGTTTGAGACCAGCCTGGGCAACAAAACAAGACACTGTCTCTACAAAAAATTTAAAAATAAGCCAGGCACGGTGGCGAGTGCCTATAGTTCCAGCTATTTGGGAGGCTGAGGTGAGAGGATCACTTGAGCTCAAGAGTTTGAGGCTACAGTGAACTATGATGGCACCACTGTACTCCAGCCTGAGTGGCAGAGCGTGACACTATCTCTAAAAATAAATAGAGAAATAATAACTAATAGATAAATAAATAAAATGAAAATCGCCACTTTACAACCACCACAATATTAATTAATCCAAGCAAGAATCATCACTGATTGCTAAAGCAAGTGAAGGAAAGTTTGATGAGAATAGCATATTTACATAGCCCCAAAGTTTTCCCCCATGAATTACTTATTAATCATAAGAGGAAGAAAAATTTTATATTGGAGAAACCTGGTGGTACCTCAATCATGACCAAAGTTAACACAGCCAATAATGGGATGAATAAAATCCTTGTGTCTCCTGATGTGAGACACTGAAAAAATACAAGATTACCTAGTCAATATTCCTGCCAGAAAAACTAACCTGAACCGAATCATGAAGCAATACCAAACTGAAGAACATTCGACAAAATAACTGGCCGCTACTTTTCAAAAATGTCAAGGCCATTAAAGACAAAAAGAAGTCTGAGGAACTATTCCAGATTAAGGAAGACTAAAGCAGGCTGGATGCAGTGACTCATGCCTGTAATCCCAACACTTTGGGAGGCCAAGGCAGGTGGATTGCTTGAGGACAGGAGTTCAAGACCAGTCTGGCCAACATAGCGGGACCCCCCTGCTCTGATCTCTACTAAAAATACAAAAAATTAGCTGGGCCTGGTGGTGCACGCCTGTAATCCCAGCTTCTTGGGAGGCTGAGGACCAAGAATCGGTTGAACCCAGGAGGCGGAGGTTGCAGTGAACCAAGATTGTGCCACTGCACTCCAGCCTGGGCAACAGAGTGAGACTCTGTCAAAAAAACAAAAAACAAAAAAGAAAGAGAGAAGGAAGGAAGGAAGGAAGGGAGGAAGGGAGGGAGGGAGGGAGGGAGGGAGGGGGGAGGAAGGAAGGAAGGAAGGAAGGAAGGAGAGAGGAAGAAAGAGAGAAAGAGAAAGAAGAAGGAAGGAAGGAGAGAGAGAAGGAAGGAAAGAAGGAAGGAAAGAAAGAGAGGAAGAGAGAAAGAAGAAGGAAGGAAGGAAGGAAGGAAGGGAGGGAGGGAGGGGAGGGGAAGGAAGAGGAGGGGAGGGGAGAGGAAGGAAGACTAAAGAGACATGTCAACAAAATGTAATGCGTGATCCTTGCTGAGATCCTGGACTGGGGGAATTTTGCTGTAGAGACAGCTGGTGAAATGGGAATAGGAATGTACAGATGCTCCTCAACTCATGAAGGGGCTGCGTCCTGATAAACCCATTGTTATATCACACATTGAAAACACATTTACTGCTCTGTTATACCAGTCACAAAGATGAAAAATCACAGCTCGAACTATCATTAAATCCAGATGCTCCTCGACTTACCATAGGGCTATGTCCCAAAAAGCTCATCACAAAGTCGAACAATCATAATCGAACGATCATACGCTGGAGACCATCTATATAAGTATTTGTAAAATGTCTTAATTTTTAGAATTGCACTACGGTTACATAAGCGAATGTCTCTGTTCCTGAGAAATACACACTCAGGTGTTGTGGGACAAAGAGTCCTGATTTCTGCAACTTGGTGGCTCAGTGGTTCAGAAGAAAGTGGTGAAAAAGCAATGTGGAGAAATGTTAACAAGTAGTGGAACTGAGTGAAGGGTATGTGGAATTCCTTCATACTCTTCTTACAACTTTTCTGTAAGTCTGAAATTATTTCAAAATAAACGTTTTTTTTTTAAGCTAATATAGCTGGGCATGGTGGTGTTTACCTGTAGTCCTAGCTGCTCAGGAGGCTGAGGCAGGATGACGGCTTGAGTCCAGGGGCTCGAGGTTACAGTGGGCTATGACAGCACTACTGCACTCCAGCCTTGGTGACAGAGCAAGACCCCACGTCTAAAAACAATAAATAAAAATAAAAAAATTAATGGAGGACAAAATACAATGATAAAAAATACTTGATTAATCCAAAGAAAGGCAGGTAAAGGAGAAATAAAGGAATAAAGAGCAGATGAACAAAGAGAAAACAAGCAAGATAGGACTTAAACCTATTTATATTAGTAATTACATTACACTAATAATTATAAAAATGAAAACTCAATTATATTAATAATTAGTAAATGCTAGTTATGTTAATACAGCAAATGTAAACAGAATATTCCAATTAAGTGACAAAGATTATCAGACTATTAAAAAACAAGACTCAACTATATGTTACTTATAAGAGACACATTTTAAATGCAGTCTTGCACCACATGATTTCAGTCAACAACAGACCACATAGATGATGGCGGTCCCATACAATTACAATACCCAATTTTTACTGTACCTTTTCTATGTTTACATACACAAATACTTACTATTGTGTTACAATTGCCTACAGTATGCAGTACAGTAACATGTTGTACAAGTTTGTAGCCTAGATGTGTTGTAGCCTAAACTACACCCCATAGGGCCCAGTTGTATAGTAGGCTATACTCAGTGTAAATACAATCTAGGGTGTTCACACAGCAACGAAATCACCTTACATTTCTCAGAATGCATCCCTGTTGGTAAGTGACATGTGACTGTCTAAAGGCACAGATGGGTTGAAAAAAAAAGACAGAAAAAGAATGCTCATCAAGGCCAGGCGCGGTGGCTCACGCCTGTAATCCCAGCACTTTGGGAGGCCAAGGCCAGCAGATCGCCTGAGGTCAAGAGTTCGAGACCAGCCTGGACAAGATGGTGAAACCCTCCCTGTCTCTACTAAAAATTCCAAAATTAGCCCAGCGTGGTGGCGCTTTTCTATATTCCAAGTTACTGGAGAGGCTGAGGCAGGAGAACAGCTTTAACCCGGGAGATGGAGGTTGCAGTGAGCCGAGATCACATCACTGCACTCCAGCCTAGGCAATAAGAGGGAAACTTCATTTCAAAAATATAATCAAATAAAAATTCAGAATCTTAGCTGTAAAGGGGAGTCAAGTGGGACCTGTGGTCAAGAAAGGGTTTATCAAATGCATCAGGAAAGAAGGTAGGAGACATCAGACTGGGTGGGAGTAAGTTAGCGCATTTACTGGTTGAAAGAAATGTAAAAGCTCTCATCTGTGTCTGTGGAAGGTGTGAGGAAGGAACTGGGCAGCAGAGACTCGCGGAGAATGAATATGTAGATTAGTGATACAGGAAAAGACCATAATTGCAGAGGTGTAATAGGATACTTATGTTGAAAGTTAATCTGAGATTTGGGTCATAACTCAGAATTGAGTCTACTCAGCTCAGTGGTATGATTTTTAAGAGTTGGGATTCTAGGCAAGTACAACAGAGAAAAAAGGAGAAAGGGATTAAGTAAGGGTGTTTGCAAGGGTGTGGTGAGTGTCGAACTGTGAAATCTAAACTAGACAAGAAAGGACATAAGGACTCCAGGGTGGAATGGTTAGTGAGAAGTGGGAGAAGGTTGGATGACGGCAGAGAACTGCAGGAGTGGGCGAAAACAGAAGGTACCTGTGTCAGGGAATAGGATATTTGAAATCAGATGTTCGGATATGCTGCAGTTAGTGGCGACGACGAAACCTTGGATATGACCATACGACGACAGTTCCTACTGATAGTGCTTCTCATTGCTGTCACGTTCCTGGTCACTCACTTGATTCACTGATTTCAGCTCCTGGATCTACTATTATTCCTGCTGATCATTCCTGGCACCGTAACCTCCACAGAGACGATTTACGTGCTGAGTTCTAAGTGACTGTGTTAGTTCTAATGGTCTTTATTTCCCATCTCAACTGTCGTCGTATGGTCATAGGTGAGCATTTTCCTCTGCCTCAGCCTCCTGAGTAGCTAGGATTACAGGCATGCGCTACCACGCTCGGCTTTTTGTATTTTTTAAGTAGAGACGGGGTTTCACCATGTTGAGCGGGCTGGTCTCGACCTCCTGACCTCTTGATCCGCCCGCCTAGGCCTGCAGTGAGCCGAGATTGCACCACTGCACTCCAGCCTGGGCAACAGAGCTAGACTTCGTCTCAAAGAAAAAACAAAAAACAAAACTGTGAGCATTTTCAGTCACTTGTAATGAAAACTGCTGGAAAGTACGTATTTTCCTTCCCCCTCCAAGGGGAAGGGGGGGGGGGGGGGGGGGGGGAGCAGCGGGGTAAACGAGAGAAGTTGCCATGTTACCAGACAGTGGAAAATATTTTGTTGAATAATATACAAAACTAAGTCTGGTACCATGTCACCTCATATAGGAATGGATGCGGAAATGAGACAGAGTATTTCTATGAAACTCTCATAATGATACTCTCCTAAAAGCCTCCCACGCTTCCTTTTTTCCAATAAAAACTAAGCAGCATTTGAGTACTGAAACCTTTATTCCCATTTTAGTGGAACGTAAACAAAGAACATGAACAACGTACTAGTCAGAAAAAAAGTGTTTTATAACCGAAAACAAGTATTTGCCAAGAGCTGTAAATTGCTTTAATCGCTTAAACTGGAGATTTCAGTGTGATTTTCAGCAGATTACCAAGCTCCTTAGTTATAGAACATTCAAGGCATAGAAAAGTGTTTTTCTTACAAAGCACAACTGAAATGTAGTTTAACTAATGGTTTACAATTCAGTCAAATACCAAAGCTGCAAACCATTTAAGGAGTCATCAATTACATAATTTGTACACTTTCAAAAAGCTTACAGCTGGGATGGGTTGTTTTCAAAGCACGACTGCTTTAAAATGATCATATTCATTAGCCTGCCACCTAGGAAGCATTAAGCGTTTACTTGCAGAATGAACGAGCGCGTTGTCTTGTGTTACGAAGTATATAATATAGTTCATTTTAGTTTCTTCATTCGCAGACAATCAGGCTCATTTCACGTGACTGCTTGCACTTAGAACTCAGTTATCACGGGGTAGGAACTCTCCAACATCGTCGTCATAGGCCAAGAGATGCCCGTGAACAGCCATGAAAGTGCCGGTCAGGGAAGGATGCAGTGCTTCGTTTTACAGTTGTTGGATAGAGGCACAGGATCATTTCACGTTGTTGAGGAGAAAGGAGAAACAGCCTCCTCCCACCTTGTTAAAAAAAGAGATTTAAAAAAATCTCTAATTTCCTCGAAGCACGGAATCTCAAAAGAGGTAGCTCTAAGGAGAACCCCTCCGGGTTTGAGTGCATTCCTCTTCCAGGGGGCCTATTCCATTCTTGGACTGCTTTCCTTAACAGAGAAAAATCTCTGAGCCAAAACTCGGCCTCCCCCAACTCCATCCTGTCGGCCCCACTTTTCTGCTCCGGAGACTTCCAGGCCAGTCCCCACTCCTCCTTCAGTCAGTCGGGCCCGCACCCGCGGCCGGCAGGGCCAGCCCTCTCCTCCCCCTGCGTGGCGCAGCACAGGCCCGGAGCGCGCGACCCCAGGCCCTGGGCGCCCCGCCGCATGCTCGCGTGGCCCTTCGAGTTATTCCGCTAAAGAGCCGCCGCGTCGCCCCACCTTGGCGCGAATCTGAAAGCGTTTTCGGGGAAGAAGATGTTGGGGGCACTGGTGAGTACACTGCACAAGTGACAAAATGTTTTCAGCCCCTGGAGGCGAAGGGTGCAGAGCCGCTCTGTGTCCGTGAGGCCGGGCGGCGACCTCGCTCAGTCGGCTCCTCGGTCCGAGTCCCGGGTACGAGGAAAGACCACAGGGGGCTTCTCGCGGAAAAGCGGGCCCCGGACCCCGCGTGCGTTGGCGGGGGCGGGCGGATGACGAGGCGCGGCGGCATGGGTGGGTCTGCGAGGCGGCGGGTCCGGGCGTCTCAGGCTCCGGGGCTCCCTCGCTGGCGGCGGCACAGGGATGGCGCGCCCGGGGGTGAGGGTGCGGCGGGTCACAAGCACTCGCAGCCCGCGGCGCAGCAGCCCGGCAGGCACACGCACACGTGCACGCGCGCCCCGCACCCGCCCCCCGTACGGCGCCCGGCTCGGGGCGGCGGCGGCGGCGGGGGCCGGGGGCGCGCGGGCCGGCGCCGAGCTGGGCCCCGGGGACCCGCGGGCGGCGGGCAGGCAGGCGGGGAGGGCGCTCTGGGGCCCGCCCGCGCGGCTCCCATCCTCCGGGCCGGCCTCCGGCTCCGCGGGGCGAGGGGAGGCGCCCGCCGGCTCCGGGCGCGGCGGGCGGGACACGGGCGCGGGGCGCAGGCGGGCTCCTCCGGCGCGCGCGGGCGCTGAGCGTGGCGTGTCCCTCAGGTCTGGATGCTGGTAGCCGGCTTCCTGCTGGCGCTGCCGCCGGGCTGGGCCGCGGGCGCCCCGAGGGCGGGCAGGCGCCCGGCGCGGCCGCGGGGCTGCGCGGACCGGCCGGAGGAGCTCCTGGAGCAGCTGTACGGGCGGCTGGCGGCCGGCGTGCTCAGCGCCTTCCACCACACGCTGCAGCTGGGGCCGCGCGAGCAGGCGCGCAACGCGAGCTGCCCGGCAGGGGGCAGGCCCGCCGACCGCCGCTTCCGGCCGCCCACCAACCTGCGCAGCGTGTCGCCCTGGGCCTACAGGTGAGCGGCGGGCGCGTCCCGGCGGGGCCCGGCAGGTGGGGAGGGCAGGGCGGGGCGGGGAGAGTGGGTGGGGCCGGGCCGAGGCGGGGCGGGCAGGATGGGTGGGGCGGGGCGACGCGGAGGGGGCGTGGCACGCGGGGGAGGCGGAGCAGGTAGGGGTGGGGTGGTGCGGGGCGAGACCGGGTGGGGTGCGGTAGGGTGGGGTGCTGGAGGCGCTGCGGTGAGGTGGGGCGGGGCAGTTGGAGCGCCGGGGGACAATTCCTAAACCGCAAAGTCCCACCCCCACCACCTCCCCTCAAGGAGTCCCGCTTCCCCTCCTTACCCTCCAGTAGTTCCTATGCAATACGTGTCTCTCGAACACCTAATCTCCGCCAGGTTGGATGGGTCCACAAGGCACTAGCCAGGGACCCTTCCGTGATGTGGACACAGTGATGTGGACCGTCCTCTGCACAGGGGGCCCGGGGAGTGCTGCTGGGGGGTGCGCGGTACTGTCCACATATTCCCTGAGTGCCCCTGTGGTCCGGAGGCTGCTGGAGCGGAGCCCTGGGAGGCGCCCTCTGAGCACCTCTAGTTTAACAGCTTAAGGGAGGAGTGGGGAGGATTGGGAAGGAAACCACAGCACCAGGCAGTGACACGAACAGTTCGGAGAGTGTTTTGGTCATGGAACAGAGGTCACTTCAGAAGAAAGGGACAGCCTGCAAAAGGGGGAGGCTGGGGAAGTTGGGGGCGTGCAGGCAGCGTGCGGGGTGTCCTCAGCAGGCACCTGTGACGTCTTCCCTCTAGCTGGAGCAGGAGGAACTGCCCGAGGGGGCGAGGCTCACAGGGCCACAGAGGTCAAGAAAGGCTTCGTGAGAGAGCTGAGTCTTGATGGAGGAGAGCAAGTCGCCTACAAAGGCAGTGCTGAGGGAGGGGACCGCTGATGGCAAGGGGGACAAAGCGCTCGGAAAATGGGGAGAGCCACAAGGCGGGCGGGGGGTGTAGGCGAGGTGTTTGCCTGTGGGATGGGCATCGATGTGAGGCTGGAGACAGGCGCAGGAGCTGGATCCCGGCCTTGTCAGCAATGCGGAGCTTCACCGTCACGCCTGGAATCCCAGCACTTTGGGAGACCGAGGCGGGAGGATTTAAAGTCCAGGAGTTCGAGACCAGCCTGGGAAACACAGCGAGATCCCATTTCTGCACTTTTTTTTGTTGTTTTTTGAGGTGGAGTCTTGCTCTGTTGCCCAGGCTGGAGTGCAGTGGCGCGATCTCGGCTCAGTGCAAGCTCCGCCTCCCGGGTTCACGCCATTCTTTTGCCTTAGCCTCCTGAGTAGCTGGGACTACAGGTACCTGCCACTGCACATGGCTAATTTTTTGTATTTTTTAGTAGAGACGGGGTTTCACCATGTTAGCCAGGATGGTCTCAATCTCCTGACCTCATGATCTGTCCGCCTCAGCCTCCCAAAGTACTGGGATTACAGGCATGAGCCACCGTGCCCGGCATCTGCAAACAATTTTTAAGGATTAGCCAAGTGTGGTGGCACGTGCCTGTGGTCCCAGCTACTCCAGAGGCTTAAGTGGGAGGATTGATTGAGCCCAGGAGGTTCAGGCTGCAGTGAGCTGTGGTGGCACCACTGCCTTCCAACCTGGGTGACAGAGCGAGACTCTGTCTCTAAAATAAAAATTAAAGAAAAAAAAAAGCCTTGATACTTGAGATCGAGGAAGCCATACAGCCATTCTGCTTTAGGAGGGTGTCCCACTGGGGCATGGACTGGACAATGCACGCGCTCCAACGCTCCATCCAAAGGACCTAGGGCTTCACTCAGGCAGCGCGGTGGGAAGGGGAGACTAGGACCAGCGTGAAAGACGCTCTTTAAGAAGACAAGTGCTGTGGAGAGTCAGAGCACATGTGATGATTTTGTCTAAAACGCATCTGGGCTTCCCCGGAGCCTCTCCCTGCCGGCTGCTGGGTAGGAGATTTCCTTTTACTCGACCACACACAGGACCCCTAGGCTGTCCTGGGAAGCCCAATTTTAGGGCCTCCTGGCTACTCTACAGAGGACCAAGCTCACTGTGGCAGAGCCCCCTCAGAGCCCCTGCCCACGGGGAAGTTGGGTGGGACCCTCCCGCCCTTCTCACTCCTGTGCTTCAGCTGGATCCTGCAGGGCACACACATGGTGCCGTTCATTTTGGTGTCTTGGTGCTCTTGCTTTTCCTCTCTCTTCCCTCCATTTCCAGGACCCGAAGGGACGGGCTATGGCATTCTTCTTTCTCTAACCTCGTGGTATGCCTCTGATATGCCAAATAGGATTGAAGCCACATGGGGAATCTCTCAGAACCAGAGTCTAACTTCTCTGGACAGAAGCTGCTGGCCCTGCATCTTTCTGTATCAGATTCGAACTTTCAGGCAAACCCATGGCTCCCTACAGGCTGGGCCGAGGGCCTAAGAGTAGCACACAGCCTCCCAAAGGCACGTCTCCCGTGTTTCTGGCTCGGGTTGTTGATGGTATTTGAGCAAAATGGGAAAACAGACTTAGGAACAAGTGTTGTGGGAGGAAATAATGAATTTAGTATCAAGCCTGTTGAGTTTTGCCTGCCTGAAAGGCGTACAGGTGACAATGACTGGTTGGAGCTCAGAAGACAGAGCAGGGCTGCAGGACATATTGAGAGTTAGCAGCCCTGGCATTCTGTGTGTGGGAATTTAAATTGGGTTGCCCTTGCTACAGATGACACCTGTGTCGCCCCAGGCAGGACCTGGGAGCAGAGGGAGGTTATGGATGAGAATGACGCACAGGGTTCCAGAAGCACGGTCTGGGCCACCCAGATCTGCCCATGTGTGGAGCCTCAGTGCTGGGGGGTCCCAGGAGCAGGAGTGACAGTTACAGCAGGTGGCTGAAGGTGTCGTGTGCATCATTTTTCATATTATTTAGCAACAGTGATGAGATCACTCCCCATGGGCAAACAGAGGTGGGTGGCTTACATTTGCTGAAGGAAAGACAGTCTTCAGGGGATGGCTGCTGGGCTGGGACTCCAGACTGCTGACTGCCAAAGCTGCTCATGCATTTTCCTGCCAGGAGAGCCCTCTCTGCCCTTCTCCCTCCGATCACCTCTCACCATCTCCTGGGTTACTGAGAAGATTAGAAAAAGTGAGACCCAGCCAGGCCCAGTGGTTCACACCTGTAAATTCCCAGCTACTCAGGAGGCAGAGGTGGGAGGATCACTTGAGCCCAGGAGTTTGAGACCAGCCTGGGCAACATAGTATGAGACTCTATCACTACAAAAAAATTGAAAACTATTAGCCAGGTGTGGTCATGTTTGCCTGTGGTCCCAGCTACTTGGGAAGTTTGAGCCAGGAAGGCTGAGGCTGTGGTAAACTGTGATTGGGCCACTGCACTGTGGCCTGGGCAACAGAGTGAGAACTTGTCTCAAAAAAAAAAAAAAAAAAAGGAAAAGAAAAAGTGAGCCCACGGAAGTGTGGAGCCTCTACTGAAAGGTTTTGTGGAAGGCCAGGCTTTGTTTTTTTTAGACAGAATCTCGCTCTGCCACCCAGGCTGGAGGACAGTGACACAAACAGCTCAATGCAGCCTTGACCTCCTAGGCTCAAGGGATCCTCCTACCTCAGCCTCCCATGTAGCTGGGACCACAGGTGTGCACCACCACATGTGGCTAATTTTTGTTTTGTTTTGTTTTGTTTTTTAGAGATGGGGGTCTCGCTTTGTTGCCCAGGCTCATCTTGAATACCTGGGCTCAAGTGACCCTCCTGCCTCAGCCTCTCATAGTGTGGGATTGCAGGTGTAAGCCATAGTGCGAGGCCAGGGCTTGTTCCTTGGTGGAGTGTCTGAGGGTGGGGCCTGGGTAGAAGAGTGCCCACCTGCAGGCTGGGCACAGTGTCAGGTGGTATTTCTTTCTTTCGAGACACGGTTTTGCTCTGTCACCCAGGCCAGAATGCAGTGGCATGGTCTTGGCAGACTGCAGCCTCCGCCTCCTGGGTTCAAGCGATTCTCCTGTCTCAGCTTCTGGAATAGCTGGGATTACAGAGGCATGCCACCATGCCCGGCTAATTTTTGTATTTTTAGTAGAGATGGTGTTTCGCCATGTTGGTCAGGCTGGTCTTGAACTCCTGGCCTCACGTGATTTGCCTGCCTTGGCCTCCTAAAGTGCTGGGATTACAGGCCTGAGCCCCTACTCCCTAAAGGCACAGCAGTCAGAGAGAATGCTGAGAAAGACAGGTGGGGAGATGGACTGAACATCAGGAGTACTGATGGGCACAGCAAGGATCACTTTAGGTGGGTAAGTTTTACAATAGGCATTTGGAAGGTGGCTTCCCATACAGATGGAATGGAAAGATAGGTCATTCAGTAAATGGTGTTGGGACAGCCTGGGTCTTACTCCTCTGTGAAAATAAATTCCAGATGAATCAAAGATTTAAATGTAAAAAATAAAACCACAAAAGTAGAGAAAAACACAAGCAATTATATTTATAATCTTGGAGTGGAGGAGGCCCTATTTAGCTGCTCATAGTCCCCAAAAGTCACAGAAGACAAGATTGAGAAATGAAGTTACATAATTATACACCGTTTCTTCTTGGCAAAGTAAAGTAAGAAAAATACAAGGGCAAACTGGGAAAAAATGTTTGCAACCCAAGGCACAAAGAGCTCCCACAAATCAGTAAGAAAAGGACCAGCGACGTCATGGAAAGATGAGCAAAGATCGGGACTGTTCCCAGGGAAGGAAAGTCAAATGACTCAAACGCTTGATGCAGAAAGGGACGCTAGCTTCAGGCATAAGTGAAGTGCATGTGGAGACTCTACTGAGCAGCCCTTTTTTTTTTCCTGGCGCCCAGCAGGCTACGTTGGCAAGGTTGTGAAGGAAAGGCATTCTCATCCAACTACAGGGGTATGAATCAGCACAACTTTTATGGAGGGCAATTTGGTATAAATATCAAGATTTTAAATTCACACACCCTTTGACTATTTCAGATACACTTGCCCATGTGCCGAATGATATGCGTACAAGGATACGTGTTCACTGCTGTAATAGCAAGAGATTGGAAGCCACCTAAACACCCCCAACAGGCACTGAGTTAGACACTGTACCCTGTGAGGAGGAACGAGGCGCACCGAGTCAGACACTGTACCCTGTGAGGAGGAATGAGGCGCACGGAATCAGACACTGTACCCTGTGAGAAAGAAAGAGGCAGCTCTAAGAGTCATAAGTGGATCAATCAATCACCAATACACAGCGGGGAAAGGCGTATCTAGCATGCTGCCGTTTCTATCTTAAAAGGGAAAATACGACATAGTATGTACATACGACAAATTCTGTTTTAAACGCCTACATATATACGCACACACAGGCATCCTTAGAACGGGGGTATTGTGGTGCCTCTTATGAGGGGCTCTGGAGGCTGGGGTTGGGGAGGAGACCTACTTTTTACTCTTGTATCTTTTACATTTTCTGCTACGTGCACATAATTCTTATTCCAAAGACATGTTAATTTTTAAGTTGAGAGCAGAAAGGGAAATTCTCCAACAATGAGGAAAAAGCAGACACTGAGAAAATGAAGCTTCAGCACAAACAACAGTCTGGGACATACCAAGAACATTGGTTGAAGGGCACCGTTTGCTCTTAAAGGCTCTGGGGCTTCCTGAAGAAGCACTGCAGACATCTGGGTGGATTTTCAGAGCTCCTACAACTCCACGGCTGGTTTGTGCTCCTGGTGAGGAGCCCGGGCCTGGAGAGATGAAGGCATTGGCCCCAGGTGACAGACAGGAAATAGTAGAGTCAGGAGCTCCTCCTGGACCTCTCTGGTTCCGTCTAGCCCACGTCCCACCCGGTGTGCTGTTAGAAAACAACATTCAGCTTCCAGCATACAAAAATATTTTTTCATTTACTTTGTGGCATAATGTTTGTTTCTCTTTAGCTTTAAAAACAAAAATGCCAAAAATAAAGTCAATGGATTGCTCAGTAAGTTTTTAAAAGTCAAATTGATATATTAAGAAATATGTTGTAAGAACACTGAGGTTTATTGAAGTTTAAGATACACATCACTCACTTCTGATGAAACCCCAGAGATAAACACCTACCAGTACAGTACTCTGAATATTTTTTAACGGCTTATGTTTTCCAAATTTTGGTAGTCATCTAAAGATAACTTTTCTCTAGGTTATGAATAATGTGCAGTAATTTATTTTTAGGCCTTATTTGTTACTTTTTTCTTTAACTCCTTTCCTCTGACAATTTAAGAAACTACACCTAAATTTATTTTACAGTAAACAACTCTGTGGATAGCTGTAGTCAGGAGGTAAAGAAAAGGACAAGGAGTGTCCTTTGCTTTTTTTTTTTTCTGCTGCCATTACAGATACCACAGATGGGGTAATTTGTAAAGAGTACAAGTTGGCCAGGCACGGTGGCTCATGCCCGTAATCCCAGCACTTTGGGAGGCCGAGGTGGGTGGATCACTTGAGGTCAGGAGTTCAAGACTAGCCTGACCAGTGTGGAGAAACCCCATCTCTACTAAAAATACAAAATTAGCCTAGCATGGTGGCACACACCTGTAATCCCAGCTACTCAGGAGGCTGAGGCAGGAGAATCACTTGAACCAGGGAGGTGGAGGTTGCAGTGAGCTGATATCATGCCATTGCACTCCAGCCTGGGAAACAAGCGAAACTCAAAAAAAGAAAAGAAAAAAAAAGTACAAGTGTATTTGACTCATGGCTCTGGAGGCTGGAAAGCCCAACAGCCCAAGGGTGTGGTGCTGGCATCTGGTGAGAGTCCTCCCACGCTAGAAGGTGGAAGCAAGTGACAAAGAGGGAAGGGCAGAACTCATCCTTTTACCAGGAACCTCTCCTCGGATGGCAGAGCCCTCCTGATGCAATCACCTCTTCAAGGCCCCACCTCCCACACTGTTACCACGGCAGTTGGATTTTTAACACATGAACTCTTGGGGGGACACAAACCATAGCAGAGAGTAAAGGAGGGTAGGGAGAACAGGGGATAGGAGATCAAGTGACTTTCAGATAGACACAGCAGGTCACCAGCGGCATTTGAAGAGGCCATGAGACCCTCCCCAGCAGCCCAGTGCAGGTACCCCGGCTGAAGGAAGCCAGTATTTTCCTGTGGAGAACCCAAGTTACCAGAACTTTCAGCAGATGACATTTGGGAAGAGGGAAAATCAGAAGAAAATAAATTCCCTTCAGGGATTTCATTTGAAAAGCGCCACCTTGGGATACAGATGTGTAATAGCCCGGGACTGGAAGTCACCTGAACGACCCCCAATAGGCAGCTAGTCAGATAAAATACTATACAGCTGTGAAGATTGGCGGCTCTCAGTGTACCTAAGGACATCCCCTACTTCCTACGTGTGCCCAAGTTCAGCTTCCAGTTACCTGTGGGCAGTTCAGCAATGGCCCATTCACTGTGACCCTCATGCTCCGGTAAGTTCATCATCTGGTATTTAGCAATGCTGTATTTTAGCAATGTTGTCATCAGGAAAGGTTGGATTTATAAAAAGGATATTTTTACTTACCCCTCCTCTAACCCTTACGTTTAGTTAACTCAAACATCCTGTTTCCCGAGTGGGCTGTCCATTAATTATTCCATTTGACAGATATTGAAACCCAGGGTCACATTCATTCGTCAAACATTGTCTGGGGGCTGGTGGGCAGGCCCCCCGGAATATAGCCAGGAACCACAGACCCTGACACTCCTCCTGCAGTCACAAGGTACTGTTCGCATCACTTTCTCTCCATCAAATCTTTTTTAAAAAATTTATCAAAGGGGTTATAACATTAGAGAAAGCTAGAGAGATTAGGAGTATGTTAGGGAAGACCATCCTCACTACAGCTATCATTCTTTTTAAGATTCCAGGCCGGGAATCTTAAAAATGGCTCATGCCTATAATCCCAGCACTTTGGGAGGCCGAGGCGGGTGGATCATCTGAGGTCAGGAGTTCAAGACCAGCCTGACCAACATGGTGAAACTTCTTCTCTACTAAAAATAGAAAATTGGCCAGGCGTGGTGGCGGGTGCCTGTAATCCCAGCTACTCAGGAGGCTGAGGAAGGAGAATCGCTGGAACCCCGAAGGCGGGGGTTGCAGTGAGCTGAGATCGCGCCATTGCACTCCAGC